ACGCTGCAATTTCACCTCAAACACTCACGATAGCAACAAATCGTGCCACTTTTGGACAAACCCGCGTCCCGGGGCATCGGCTGTGTCTCTCCCTGCCCGTCTGCGCCCTCTCGGTCCCCGGCCCACCTTTCATATAGCCCCTCGGTGGCCCGGCGCCCTGTGACTCCTTGGCGCAATGGTAGCGCGTTCGACTCCAGATCGAAAGGTTGGGTGTTCGAGTCACTCAGGGGTCAAAATTTTTGCTTTTTGGGGGAAATGTTGCTGGCCATTAGGGTAGGCTATGGCACTAGTTTTGCGTTTTGTGCATAGCATTTGGACCGTTTTTTGGGCTCTTTTGGGGGCTCTGTAAATATGGGTCTCTTAGCATTTTCTAAGACTATTTTGCTGTTTTAACTGAAACTGCTCGAAGCGAGAGACCGCCTTCGTTCGAGTTCTAATAGATGAAGTCTTTTTATCTTTCTCTAGACATGGATATGGCGAGAATATCGAATCGAGTTATCACAAAGTAGCAAAAGAATAAAATTGCGTTTGTTTTTAGTCAGTGGCCGGCTCTTGACTAGAAAGCAGAGTCTTCGTTGGTTTCATCCGGACAGCATCCCCAAAAATATCATCGTCAGACTCGGAATCCGAGGCCAAATGCGGGTAGACTTCCTAAAGGATCGTTTTTGCATGTTTTATTGGCTCACTTACTTTTACCGAGAGCAAATCATAGCGCGTAACCCGGGTTCTAGTCGAAGATCTAAATTTTTGAGGTTTTTAGCAAAAATTAGCTCAATTATTAGCACTGGCAAATTAATTCAACCTCACTTGCACAGCGAAACAAGACATGAGCACCCGCACACCAAGATTATAAAGCCAACAACCGCCGCAGCACGTAGCCAAGCAAATTCATCCCATTCCTCCGATGCCACATGTCTGTATTTTTTTTTGATTAATTGGTTAAAGGATTTTCTGGAAAAATTCATCGCTGTAACTTACGGACTAGGTAACTTTGTAAGAGGAAAAACGGTGGTCGACATCAGGCGTTACTCCATAATGTTTCCGCCTACTTGCTCTCGGATTTAGCGAAATGTCGGGCGATCCAGTCTAGAAAACTGAGGATGGCGTTTTACTTCGGGCTCCGGCCTAGCATCAATCCCGAGCCTTGAATCAATACCTAACCAGCGGCGAGAGCGGCAGCCCGCATAGACGCAATAATAAATGTCACCCCCACAACAAAACGACGCTCGAAATTGCGGGATGAAAAAGCCCGTGTTCCTGTTTGTTGGGAAGTTTGCAGAAAAATTTTTATTTAAATTAAACTGACTATGTTCAAAACCACAAGTAAAATCTGCAGTTTCCTTGAACAAACCGGGAATCATACTCACATTACAAAAGCAAGCACAACAACATCTTAAACCAGGGCCAGTACCCGTGCGAATATGTGATAGATCACGGGTTAAATAAGAATTGTGTCGAATTTTTTCATACCATTGAAACAATGCTGAACTACGATTTTAAGAAAAAAAAACATAAATTAACGAAAGAAGGGGGGCTAATTGTCATTCTTGCTCTGATCCAGTATTTTTTGTGGGTCCAGCCGTTCGGCACGTCGATTCTCCGAGGTGATGCTCTTGTAAACAGCCATCGCCTGCGCGACCATAGCGCTTGGTTCCTAATTTTTTTTGCTTAATTGGGGCCAAAGGGGCTCACCTGAATATTGGCGGGCAAAATAATAGTGTTTGTTTCCTTGGCGAGCTTGGAAAAGGCTTCAACGTATTGTTCGGCAATCGTCAGGGACGCGGCACCAGAGCCCTCATTCTAAAAAAAAAATTGATTTTTCGATAATATTTTTAAAATCCGACCTTCTCCATGGCGGCCGCGATGCGTTCTAACGCCGCAGCTCGAGCTTCTGCGTAAACTTGGATTGCCTGGGCTTGACCACGAGCAATGTTCATCTGAAAGCAGTGAATAGATTTTCCGTACAAAACTTGGTTCCAGACGGTGCGGGGGAGGGGGGACCAAATTTTTCCAGCAATCCCGTAAGCGCCATTACGCACATTTCCGCCATTTTTTATAGCATTTTACATAGTAAACATTGCATTTTTTCCGAAAAATGTGACTTTTTGGCCAAAAATCCACGAAAAATGCCAAAAACACATTAACAGTTCGCAATTTCAGAATTCTAAAAAAATTTTTAGCAATGAAAAACTAATAAAAATACCATTACAATATATTATATCTATTAGCAACGGTAGGCATAGGCTGAAAAAAAACAAAAAGTGATTTTCCCCGTGTTGAGTATCCGTCGCCCCCCCCCCCCCCCCGCCAACAGACCAGAACCAAAAACTATAGCTTAAACCATGGCTACTAATACTTCGTAAATATACCTGTTCCAATTCCTTCGCTTCCGATGCCAGGACTTGAGCTTTCTTCTTTCCTTCAGCGACGTTGATCGCGGCCACTCTCTGACCTTCCGATTCCAGGATCGCGGCTCTTTTTCTCCTTTCCGCTTCCACCTGCATCTGCATGGCCTCCTGGATCTTGGCTGGCATTTGCATATCCCCTAAAAATAATCTTCAATAAAGCCCCCAAATCTTACGAATTTCATATCGCAGGCAAGTGATGCCCCACGGGGAAGCTGCCTTGTTGATGGCTTCCACGATACTTTCGTTTAGCGTCTCGCGCTCCTTGAACACCATATCCAACGAGATTTTGCCGACCTAAACTGATTATAAAGCAAAATAAAACGAAAATTACTTCAGAACGCATTGTGGTCTGCGCAATCTGGGTGACAGCAAACTCCGGATCGTCAACTCCATAAGAGGCCTAAAAATATGAATAGAATTGACGGTTCTTTCGCATTTCCGGGGGAGAAGGTTTTTTCTCAGAAACTAATTTTTAAAATATTCCTAAACGTATAAACTTTACAAATTTTTATGAAAAATCAAAAAGATATCAATTTTCGACCAAAAATGGCCGTTTTTGAACCAGATTTCGACTTTTTCCAAACTTCTCAGATAGTTTTTCTAGTCAAAATATAGTTTTATTTTAATAAACATTATGAAAATACTACCTACTATGAAATACTACTATTAAATTACTAGGCACCTCTAGATTAACACAAAAAATCCCCCCCCCCGATAATGCGAAAGAACCAATTACCAAAATTCAAAAAATACCTTGAAAGGGTCGACGACGCGTAGATAAAGCACACCGTCAATTTGCAGCTGCACGTTGTCAATGGTGATCGCCCCTTGTTGCGGGATCTCGATGGCGATTTCCTTCAAGCTTTGTACGTGCTTGATTTTGTCGACGAGTGGTATAAGGATGTTGACGCCCTAAGAATATTAATTTGCCGCAAGAAAATTGTTCATACCGGCTCCAACACTTTATGGAATTTGCCCATCCTCTCGACGACCCATGCTTCTTGGTGGGGCACAAAATTGATGATGGTGTTGCGCGCGTAGCCTCTTCGCGCAATTTCGAGGATCGACGCCGGGCCTCGGCGTAACATCGTTGGAATAAGGACCTGAAAAAGTACAATATGATTTTAATTAGGCTAATTAGTATTCTTGAAATTGAGTTTGACTTTTATACAGGCGTCCAAAAATCCCCCTCCCTCTAGCCGGCCGCAGTCCTGTCCAGTTTTTACGATTTACGTATCTATCGAAAGCTCTCAAAAAGGCGATTCCAGCACGAGTTTTTGATTTTGGAAATTCTGAAATTTTTGCTTTTCTCACCAGGTTTTTTCCGAAAAATTAAAATTACTGAGCCTAATGACCCAATGCTAGGCTCGCCCGTTGTGTGAACTTTCTTGTTTGGGGGGGGGGGGGGGCGGGGGGACCAGGGGGAACTCCCCGGGGGTTGGCGCCCCGCCCCCCGGGCGAGGGGGGGGTGGCCGGCGGCGGGAAACCGCCCCGGGGGTTTTTTTTTGAGGACCCCTTGGGAGGTGTTTGTTTTTTATTCCTTTTTTTTTTTTTTCAAAAAAAAATATTATTAAAAAAAAAAAAATTGATATAAATAAAAGGGGTTGGTTGGAACCGAAGGGGGGGGGGGGGGGTATTAAAAATTTTTTTAAAAAAAAAATTTTATTAAAAGGGGGAAGAAAGATGTCCCTCGCGGGAGAAACGGCTTGTGGAGGCCTGAATTGATTCGAAATTTTTGAGATTGTCAAAAGCGAAACGTGTGTTTGTACCAGTTTACTTTTTTTTTTTTTTTTCTGGTTTTTTTGCATTTCCTTTAGTACAGACACTTTTTCTCTCGCAGCCCCCCCGGTCGTCGTGGTTCGCCGGCGAAGTTCGCCGATCCCCTCTCGTCCCCTTTTTTGGCGAAGTTCGCCGGTGGTTCGCCGGCCACCTGCCGGCCTAGTTCGCCGGCCACTGCGGGTTCGCCGGCCAGCTCGCCAACCCCTTAGGTTCGCCGGCCACCTCGCCCGCCGAAACAGAGTTCTATCGATACCCATATCGTAAAAATCGGACACGCCTGAGGCCGGATAAGGGGGATTTGTTTTGGGGCACATTCTAAATGCTTTTCGCCCAGCTATACAGACTAGGGCCAAAAGGGGAATGTCTAAGCATCTCCGGCAAGAAATCGGAAAGGAGATTATCCTGGAAAGTGAGCCGAGAAGCTCGGTTTCCATAGCGATGAGGCAATTCGACGAAATTTTCTGACGGCCGGTCGGTCCCGATTTCCGGGCGGCGTAACTCATCCACCAGAGAGCACAGAGGCAAACCGGAAAGTGTAGCCAACCGGAACGGCAGGGGCCCAGGACCTCAAGTCCTTATCTTGCCAGCGCAAAAAGGGCACTATGGATTAGGGCCGTGGGCTTTAGAGAAGTTTTTTCGAGACGGCCGCCCACATGGCGCGACAAAGTGCTTCAGCCACATCAAATATTAGGCCCCCAAACATAGGCTTCAAAATAGGCGCTTTTTTCGTTTTTGAAGTTGGTCACGTGACACCCTCTTTTTCCTTCGAAATAGAATTTTCACGATTTTTTAATCTTTATTTTTCCAGGGCAGATGCTAGAATCTCTATATGAGGAAGCGGTCGGCCACAGCATACCCCGAGACGCCACCGCCCGCAGCCTCGCCAATTCCTTCCTGTCCGGGCTGAAAAGAAAGAGCGATGAAAAACGCATCAAAGCTGCCCGTGAACTTTACAGGTTCAAAAACTCGATATAATCTTATTTGTTTTTAGATTCATCCAAAATGAACTGAAAGACGAGGGAAACCATTACGTGAACGAATTCTTTCATGCTTTCGACGCCAGCTCGAAGGACAAAGAGAAAGTGAGCACAATAAAATAAGCATCAAATGGCTTTAGAACGAATTGCAAGATTGCCTGCGGGAAAGCTCTGAAATCGAAGAAAAACGAGCCGGCATCTTCATCATCGTTTGTATACTCGAAGCGCCGGCCACGGGAGAAGCCTCCAGAGTCAATCGCTACGCTAACTTATTGCTTCGAGTGAGGGAATTCAGAAGCTTCTATCTTTTTTACAGAGTTTGACACAGCCAAACACTGATGAGCACACGATGGAGCTGGCCGCCCGCGGGCTCTCTTATTTGATACAGACTTCAAAAGTGACGGAGTTAGTCAACAAATGTATGGATCAATGCCTGGAATGGTTAGAGGACAACGAGCGGTATTTTAGCATTTCCAGGGTACTCTTGAGTTTAGACAAGAAAAACGTCGTCTCGCCGCTGCGTTTTTGACACGAGAACTCGCGCTTTTCACGCCGACTGCCTTTTTCGCGAGGGCCACAAATTTCTTCAAGAATATATTTAAAGTGGTGCACGATGCGAAGGTAATATTTGCCGAAAATTCTCGCTAAAAATGCCGACAAAAAATTGCAGAGACCAATATTATACCTGGTTTTCTGGGTTCTTTAGCATTATCGGGGGATCAACTTTTTTCTTAGGTCTAATTTTTCAAATATGAATAATAACAGTGTTTCGAAATGCTTTTTACTATTCCTAGATGTGAAAACTCGAGAAAATTTGATTGAAAATGTCAAAAACGCCGGTTTTTTGACCAAAATTTCGACTTTTTAGCCCTTTTAAAGTTTTTTTTTGGCTTAGTTTGTTAGTTGAAAGTAGTTATATGTTACTGAAATTAACATTACGGTGCTAGATATTGCAGGTCTTATAGAAAATTTTGGTGCCCCCCGTTAATGCGAAAGAACCGTTTTATGATCTTTTTAGCCAAATCTACGCATAGCTGCTGTAAATGCTCTGCATGCCGCTTTGACGATCACTTCCCAGCGAGAAGCCCGCCAGAAAACGGAGTGGTATCGGGTCAGTTCATGCCGAAATCTTGAAATCTGTCTTAGGAATGCTTCAACGAAGCCATGGTTTGCGATATTTCGAGTGGTGATAACAACCGGATGTCGCATTTGTCCAAGGACGATCGGATACACTCGATGCTGCTCGTGCTCAACGAATTGGTGAAGATCAGTGATGCCAGTTACGAGAAGCACAGGTTGGCTTACATTATATCCCTAAACAAATCAAAAACATTAGGATGTCAACTTTGGGCCATGAAGTCGGCACTTTCTCCGGCGGTTCGACGAACCCGGTCGACTGGTTGACCGAAAACCGGACGACGCATATTGTTGAAAGCCTGACAGCGAGGAGCATCGTTGTGCAAAATCTGGAAATGGTCAGAATGACGAGTATACCTTAATTTTTATGATTGTAGATTATTCACGTCGCCTACGAGGCCCGCAATTCCAAGTCGACCTATGTGCAAACGGTGTTGCTCGAGCTGTACCCACGATTGAGCGCCTGGGAGGGATTTCGGAGCGCGAGAACGGCAATTGAGGGAGATGTTCGAGTATACGTTCAGACAAATGCGATCCAGCCCTCAGGTATGGAAAAGTCTGATCTACGAGTGCATAAATAGAAATTTGCTTCTGGTTCTTTAGCGGGGGGAGCTAATTTTTTTACCTATTGCCGACACCTATCATTAAATTAATTAAATAGTGTATTTCTAGTGTTTTTAACGCATTTTAATTGCTAGAAAGTTCTAAAAAATATTTAAATTTTGTGAGAATTCGACTTTCGGCTAAGCGTTTTTCATATATTTTAACCACAAAATCAAAGATGTTCGAACATTTGATTACTTTTTTGGACATTTTATATCTAAATAGTTTAACTCAAACTTGTTAAACTTTTTAGAAACTTTTTATGTTTAAAGACGTTGTAAAATGCTGCAGAAGCTTTATAAAATGCTAAACCCCCCACTAATGAATTAGAACCCAAATTTCAGCAAGCCATACCGTCCGTTGGGATGTTCATGAAGCTTCATCCGGCCGCCTTCGAGGACCGGATACCGGATGTGGTCGCGATAGTCAGCGAAAATATCAACCAATCGTTTTCCAAGTAAGTGTACCCTCTCCCGCACCATAAATCACTTTAGAAAGCGACCGCTCGACAGTGCTGTATACACATTCCTGAAGCTCTTCATCCCGGCCTACGGTGAAAAGGTGGAGCTGGAGGCACGGAGTCTGATTGCATTGATCATGCCAGCTGGAATAAATCTCAGTAAGTCTTATCTAATTTTTTGCGCGTTGTTTCAAGTATAGAAAGCTGCAAAAAATTATTAAAATCTTCGTAAAATTTTAAGTTGTTTTGATTCAAATTTTTTAGGTCTTTTGGTGAGAGTGCACTATTAAAAACACTAAAAATACGCGATAACACGCTAAAACTTACTAGATATTAGGCTAAGTTCTCCCCCCGCTAACAGTCCAGAACCAACGACCCATCGTCAAATTCAGGCCTCTGTCGCGTCATGAAGCTGGTGGTGGACAAGACGCAGTGTTTGAAGGAGGAGATCCAGAAGGGAATGCTCGACCATATCAGCCGAATTCTAGCCCAACAACCATATGCGGCAATCGGCGGAAACCCTAAGGCCAGAATGCCTGCTGGCCCACCCGAGGTTGGTCGTCAGGGAATTTCCGGTTAACACTTGTGCCCCAGATTGGCGACCCTGAATTGACGGTGCTCGCGCTGGACCGTTGGGCAGCTTCAATTTCCCTCGCGGGGATCTGCTGACGTTTTTGAAGTACATATCGGAGGTAAGGCTTTTAGAATTCGTTTTTGATCAATTTTGATTTGATCTTTTAGATTTTTCGGATATTTGAATTTAATATTCGTAGGAAAAATTCGGATTCACCTAACCTCCCCCCCCGATAATGCGAAAGATCCTAATTTTAACCTCCTTTTTCCAGGGCTATTTGGTGTGTCAGAACAAGGACGTCCGGATCGCGGCGGTGAAGTGCACGGTCAACATGATCATCCCGTTTATGAAGTGGGTTGATTGGTTGGATTTTGAAACGCTATGTTTTTTAGAGTCTTCCACCGTTGCCATCGCGAATATCGAGGTCAACTCCAGGAGACGATCATCGGCGTGCTCACCCGGGTCGTTTCTGTGGGTGTCGTTGATAGAGGTGATTCTTCCTGATTTTCTGTATCACTAGGTTTAGACGTGGAAGTGCGACTCTGCGTACTGGACACGCTTTTTAATGGCTCTTTTCCGTTGCTGTCATTGTTGGCTACAGATCAGGTTTTTCCGGTTACTTTATGTTAAATTGCTAAATCTGCAGATGCTGACGATGCTTTTCATGTGCATTCATGACGAGAAGCCGGAGATCCAGGTGGCGGCTATTCGCCTCCTCGGAAAGGTATTTTTTTGGATTGGCTATAGCAATGTCGAAATTTCGATATTTTGACATTTTTACATAGAATTTGGCGTTTTCCTGGAGAGTTGCTTCCATAAATTTCGATTGTGTGATATTTTGATATTCTGATGTTTTGACAATTTTGAAATGTCGACATTATGCAATTCGACATGATAAAATTTCGAAATTATGAAATTTGACCTCTAGATTTTCGGCATTCTGGCTGTTGAAAGTAACCCATTTAGTGTCGTGATTAACAGAAAAATACTTATATTTTTAGCATCCGTATGACCGAGGTCAATCCAGCTGTCATCATACCACGACTTCGGCGCATCCTGCTCGAATCGTTGAGCCAGTTGAAAACAAGTGGAAATGCCAGGCGAGTTTTTGCAAGTTGAATTAAAATTTAAAACATAAGAATTCATTAAATGTAAATTATCCCCTTCTTTAAGGCTGGAGCAGCACAGCGCCCGTCTCATCTGCCAGCTGGCTAGGCAGAACCCCGACTTCATTAAGGTGTACGTCAGCCCAACCACGGAAGCGCTGCTGTCAAGATTACGGTATGAAATTTTGCACCTCCAAGAATTTCTGCGTTTAGAATCGAATCCGTCCATTCCGATGTGACGGTGGAGGTGCTGGATTGCCTCGGGGAGCTGGCGCTCGTCGGCGGATCGGAAATGGTCCGAAATCTGCCGGTCGTCTTCAAATTTCTGCATCAATGCATCACAGACAGCAGCCATCGTAGGAGGAGACAGGTATGGGTTTTTACTAAAATTCAGAGAATCGGTTCTTTTGCATTATCGGGGGATTTCTTTGGTATGGGTCCAATTTCTCGAATATAAATATAGGAAGTGTTTCAAAGCTGTGGTGTGACTATTTTTAGTGTAGAAGCTTTGCAGATTTTTGTAAAAAATCCAAAAACATATTATCGACCAATAATAGCCGATTTCCCATCTGTCTTTTAAATTCAAATTTTTCAAAGTTTTTTTCAGTGTCGATTTGGAAATATAGTTGAAGTTTTCTACAAAACGCTATTAAAATACTTTTTCTGATTTTGCCAGGCATTTCTGGGCGCACAGGACCCCCCTGATAATGCCCAAGAACAAAATATTCTAATTTCAGGCTGCACTGAGAGCTATGTGCCGCATCGTCCGAACCACCGCCTATGTCATGGAGCCGTACAAGGACTACCCAACGCTTCTTGATGATCTTTTCCGGCTTTTGAAGGCAATTTCGCACGTTTTGATCAAACCTCTAGTTTTTAGACGGAAATGAGCGCCGAGATGCGACGGCAAACCATCCAAGTGCTCGGTGTGCTTGGCGCGCTGGATCCGTACCTACGGAAGGTGTACCTTGGCGACGTCCCGTCTTCTTCAACCCTCTCCACCGCCCTCTCGATGCCGTCTACTAGATTCCAAACGGATACGCGACAAGGTTAGGCTTTTGCCTTTCGGAAAAGGATTCGAAAATAGTGAAATTGAAAGAAAAATAGCTTCTTTATTTGTAAAAAGACGTAATTTTTTCTAAGGTTTATATAAATAGAGGGAGCGCTTCTAAACTGTTTTTTACTATTCCTAGGCGAAAAACGGTTACAAAAAATTAGAATATACAAAAAAATCTTGATTTTTCCACTAAATAAATGCTTTTAAGTTTAATTGTTTTTTGACTTTAAATATACTAGTTAGCTTTTACCTAAGACAGTATTAAAATTACTTACTTTTGCGTTATCAGGCATTTCTGGGCTTAACAAAGCCCCCCCCCCATAATGCAAAAGCACCGAAAGAAGAAACTGGAACGGAAAAATGCCGTTTCCAGAGGTTATCCAATGGTTCAACTACGAGAAGTGCACCCTCGAGGAATTCTACCCGTCGATCACGCTGGCCAATCTGATGTTGATGGTCCAGGACGATGCCTACAACGATCATTACAAACAGGTAAAATAAGTAATTTTTTTAAAATTAAACTTTTGAGCTTTACATTTAGTCTTTTTTTTTAAACTTTTTAGGTGAATTAAGTGGTTAATATTGAGATTCAGAATAATTAAGAAGTAACAAGTATACCACTACCCATATTTCTTTAGATCGTCCAGGCGCTGCTCACGATTTTCCAGGGGATGAACCAGGATGAATACAAGGCCTATGTCGAACAGGTTGGCTTGGAGGTTGTCTGTTAAATCCTCGTTTAGGTGCTACCCCGCCTCATCGAAGTGACGCGGAAGAACCGACAGCTGGAGCACCGGAAATTCTTCATCTCCCAAATAGCCCAACTCGTCGACATTGTCCGGCTCCACGCGAAGAACTACATGAAGTCCATCTTTCAAATGATTGCTGTAAGTCGGGCTCGTTCTCGGGTTCTTTTGCATTATCGGTGGGGAAACGAAATTTGTCACAAATCCAATTTTTTAAGTTTACATTTTTAATGATTAATTTTATAGATTTTTTATAACGATTGTTTTTAGATTGGATTGATAACGTTTTGCCAAAACTGTTTGTTGCTATTCCTTAGCATAAAAACTTTATAAATTTTCAATAAAGTGTACAAAAATATCGATTTTTCGACTTAAATAGCCAAAGTTTTTTTCAGAATTTCAACTAAAATTTAGATTTTTTTGGCTTATTTCTATCTTATTTTATTTTATAGTAAAATTTTCTGTAAGAAAATTTCGATCCCCCCCCGATAATGCAAAAGAACCCGTGTTCAGAACAATATCATCCGATTTAGGAAGCCTGGTGCGAAGACCAGTCGATGAAGCTCACGATCATCAGCGCGTTAGAGTTGATGGGGACGGCGCTGGGGAAGGATTTCGCCCCGTTCGTCGACGAGCTGATCCCGTACTTGCTACGCGTCATCCAGTCAGATCGGACGGCCGAACGACGGCTAACTACCAAGGTATTGGAATGCGGTTTGTCTTGAGCGAAACGGTTTCTTTAGGTGCTGGCGTGCGTGGGTGCGCTATCCGGATGTTTGACGCCTCACCTCCACCTCGTTCTGCCGCCGATCCTTGCGATTGTCGACGACTCGAACAGCCTGATGAACGTGCGGGAATTGGCGTTGAATACTATTCTACAATTAGGTAGATATTTTCTAAACTACACAAAAATCCACATTAAAATTAAACTATTCTATTTTTTAATTTAACGGAAAATAAAATATGATGCCTTTATCATAGGAAATCGTCTAAACCCGCATTTAGCCGAAAGCGAGGACGTCTCCGAATTTGCGCCCCGCCTGATGCAAGCCTGGCTACGTGGTGTCGATGTCGTCTCCCTGCAAAAGCCGCTGCTAAAGCTACTTGTTGTTGTCGCCGGACAGGTTGTTTAAAGTCCTAGTTCCTTAAAATAATGCTATTCAGATGTGGCGCCACTTTGACGTCTACCGGACGAGCGTTGACATGGCCCTGCTGAAGCACAACCTGCAATGCCCCGAGTATGATCGGTTGACGTTCACGATGATGGATCACGAGCTGAAGCATGTAAGGGAACGCTTGGCCGATTTATTACATTTTTCGGTGCTTTTGTATTAACGGGGGGGGGGTTCAAATTTTTTTTATACGTCTAAAAATACCTAGTGCTATCAAAACACTTTCAAAAAGTCGGAACTGCCAAAAAACAGCCAATTTTCTGTCGAAAATCGATATTTTTGGATTTTTGAATCAAAATTTATTGGTATAATGCAACAAAACAGGTCCCCTATTTTTATTTAAAAAAACTATCCTAAGTTTCAAAAATCCTCCTCCCCCCGATAATGCGAAAGAACCCATTTTTCCTACAGATGGCTGGCACGGCGTGTGCCCCGAATCCCCTACCACCATCACAGTTTGACCACTCGAAGGGCCGGTCGAAGACGACGCGCCGCCAACCCGTCCAGGTCAAGAAGCAAAAGTTCAGCGCCGAGCTCGTCCGCCCCAACTGGATGGTTCGTACTTGTTTTTTGTAGTTTACAGCCACCACTCCAGACGGAAACCCTGGTGAATCGCGAGGACTGGTCGCAATGGTTGACGAAGTTGCGCTCGGCTTGTCTCAGGCTCAGGTGCGCTTTTACAAGCCTTTTCTAGACGAAAATTCGTTTCAGTAGCAGCGCCGCGCTGAGAGGTGCCGCTCCACTCACCGATCTCTACCCCCATTTGGCCAAGGACCTCTTCAACGCGGCTTTCATGTCCGTCTGGACCGAGCTCAGCCAACCGCACCAGGATGAGGTGATTTTGTCGGCTCATTTTCATTTTTCCTAATTTTTCTAAATTTATTTTGCCTAAAAATCGGCCTAAAATAAATTTCCTGGAATTGTCATATAAATGGCGATGCGTCAAGAGAGCAAAAAAGGAAAGATGCTGCCATTTTTGCTTATCAAAGCGTAATAAAATCAGGATAACGAAATAAATCAAGAAAAATGAGTTTAGGAAAAATTACAGTAATCCCTTTTCGTCACGTTGCATCCATAATTCGATTTAAGTTGACGAAAAACCTCGAAAATGCCCTGCGAAACAGTGGACAGCCGGACATTGTACAGACGATCCTCAACCTCGCCGAATTCATGGACCACTCTGAGAAAGGCCCATTGCCGATCCCGTATCACGTGCTTGGAAGTGCCGCCGAAGGCACCCGCGCCTATGCAAAGGCCCTCAGATACAAGGTGATTCTAAAAGTTTGACCAAAAAATTTCCTACTTCAGGAAATCGAGATCGAGCGGAAAATTGCGAAACGATACCCGGTGACCCCTGAAGATTGTCAAGCCCTCATCACGTAAAAAATCCAATTTTTATGCAGTTTTTGCCCTTTTCAGGTACGCCAACAAATTGAACGTGCACGATGAGGCGGCTGGCGTCGTCAAATACGCTGAAAAGCATGGAATCCAAGCGGTCCTCCAGGGGAAATGGTACGAGAAGCTGCAGGATTGGGAGAAAGCCCTCGAGTTTTATCAGGTATAAAAATTACACGCGTCTAAAGTTAATTTCCGTTTTAAATATAAATAGCTGACGTATTTCTAAAGCATTAATTTCAATCAAAAAAGGCGGTTTTTTTGGCCAGAATGTCGACTTTTCCAAAAATATTTTTGACATTTTTTAGGTATTTTTCTAGTCGAAGTATAGTTTTATACTGCTAAAATATTATTAAGTTACTATTAAGTTACGAGGCATTTCTAGATTTATAAAAAAATTTTTGGTCCCCCCAATAATGCGAAAGAACCGACTTAATTTACTTTTTAGAAAGAGCCAAACCAAGACCTGGTCGCCCAGTACGAGATGCGATGTCTGGAGGCCCTCGGCCGATGGAAGGACCTGAACGAGATGGCGTCGTTTGAGAAGGCGACGGCGAACCCGAAGATTGCCGTCATGGCAGCAAGAGGAGCGTGGGCGGAAGGTAAATATATACAATTTTTCAAATCTAGTTTTTCCCATATACAGGTCAACTCGATAAAATGGCCCAATTCGTCGAGATGGTGTCACCGAACACGCAAGATGGCTCGTATTTGAGGGCCGTGTTGGCCGTGCGAAATCAAGAATTCCGAAAGGCGACGTTTTTGATCGATAAGGTTCGAGATTCTACGAGATTCTAGTTTTGTGTTACCAGGTTCGAGACATGTACGACACGGAGTTGACGGCGTTGGCCGGCGAGAGCTACGAGAGGGCGTACGGAGCGATGGTGCTCATCCAGCAACTTGCCGAGCTGGAGGAGGCTATCGAGTATCGAGGTAAATTGGAATTTTTTTGGTATTTGGTATTGAAACCATTTTTTAGTCCGCAAAGATCGCCGACTTCGCATCTCGCTGCTCTGGTCTCGCCGGCTGCTCGATTGCCAGGAAGACGTCGAGCAGTGGCAGCGCGCCTTGTTCTTATGGTAATTTTTACTGACTTGATTACGCAATTCTTTATTGACTAAATTACCCGGGTTTAACTTGCTTACCTGTACTTGTTTTTAGGGAGATGGTCATGCCGACAAATCACATTCTTCCCCTCAAGGTGAAGTTTGCGTCACAGTGCCGCCGTCAGGGACGTCATGACATGGCCAAGGATGTCCTGCGCAGTCTATTAGGTAGGGCAATTTGATAATATTATTTTCAAATTGTTATTAAAAATCCCTTTAAATGGAAATAAAACATTATTAAACTATCGTGCTGCAGGTATCCCGCCCCGAGCCGAGCTTCACACCGCCTCTGTGCCCCAGGATAAACCAAACTTGGTGATGGCCCTCTGTAAGCAGCTGTGGGCTGATGGGCTGCACGGGTCGGCGGTGGCCACTCTGGATGCATTGGTAAATACATTTTTTTATTTTTAATTTGAAACTGCTTTTAGTCTCGACATTTGGAAAGGACGGCCACTACGGAAATGCCCACGCAAAAGCGGAGGACATTGGCAAAGGTTGGTCAAAATCTCGTCGGCCGATTGCGAGCTAATTTCGAAATGACATTATGTCGAAATTGTGATTTTTTCGAAAATGGGTTATTTTCATTCCGTGTTTTGTCGAAAAGCGTATATTATCCAAATTTTAATGCCTTTTTCGCCTCTATTATTCATCTTAAACATGTCGCAAATTGAATTGTCAGCGCATTGAACTTTCGAAAAAAGAATTTTCCACAAAATAATGCTTTGACAGCCGATTAGCAAATCTTCGAAAGTTTTTGCACGGTATTTGAGAGATCCGAGAGATTTGTACCAGTATATTTCAGCGTTATGAAATTTGTGGAAGTTTTAGAAATTCGACATTATGAACTTCGAGATTACGATTTTCGACATTTTAAAGGTATCCGCTTTTCAGGTATTCGTGAAACTTGGCGAATGGACGTACGCGGAAGGACTGCGAAATATTGAGAACAACTCTTATCCCAAGCAATCGGTATCATTTTTTTCGATATCTCTTACTTTTTGCGTCTAGGTCGGCTCTTCTGAAGGAGCATTGGCCCAGCTGTTGGCCCAGGCCGAACCGATGTCGAGGATGAAGAACGAGCGCCACCTCTCCCAAACCGTCATTCAGCTCTACCCCGAAAAGCCGCCGTGCAGCGACCCCAGCTGGCACAAGGGTAGACGAGTTTAGGGAAACGTTCTAATTTTATCTAGGCATGGCACCGTCTCGCCATCACCTACTACGCGACGCTACAGAGGGAACAGGAGCGTCTTCCTGGCAAATCACGAATTCGGCTGTGGTGGCCAGGTACTCGGAAATATATCTTTAAACTACCTTCCACGTTGTGATATTTTTAGAATTAAAAAAAAGAAATAATATAGATTTTTTTGATCCAAAAATGGCCATTTTTGACCAAAATTTCACTTTTTGAAAATTTTTGAAAGGGTTTTCTGGTTGTAATATAGTTTTAGTTTTCTAAAAACATTCGTAAGCTGGTTCCTATTAAGTTATTGGGCATTCCTAGACTTCTATAAAAAAATTTGTTTCTCGATGATGCGAAAGGACATTAAAATTATTTTGCTTCGATTTTAGGCCCATCTTCACGGCTCCTTGAGCGCACCAGCGGGAAGTATTCCTGAAGATCAACGTAGGCGTCAAGCTTTCGAATATAAACTCCTCTTTTTAGCGAATGTTCCTGGCGCCCTGTCTCCCAATTTGCCGTACAATTCTGGCCAACCAGGCCCTTCGACCCAACCACCGCCCATCACATTCCAGGCAAGCTTTCCCCTACCTCTTCCGAACCGCCTTTTTCAGACTGGCGCGACTCCTGCTGCGAAGGTTGTCGCCGAGCTGCGTAACAACATCAAACAGCTCGCCCTGCACTCGATCTCCTCCTTCATCGAGGCCCTGAAGCTCGCCAAGGGATCACGGCTCGAAGACACGCTCCGCCTTATGGCACTGCTCTTCGACATCACCGAGACGTTGCCCACCGAGTTGCGCAACGGGCTGAAGAAGTTGCCGCCAGAGATGTGGCTTGAGGCTGTCCCTCAATTGATCGCTCGACTGGAGGCGAAGAACTCGCAGGACACGAGGGAGGCGCGGAATGCTGGCATCGTCAAGCAGGTCATCCTCGACGTCAGCAAGGTGTATCCTCAGGTATCCGAACTTCAAGCTTCGTTTTATTTCATTTTCTCAGGCCCTCGTCTACCCAATCACGGTCGCTGCAAAATCAAGGTGGTTCGGAAAATGGGCTGGAGCTGTTCACGCTATTCAGTGCGTCTTTTGGTGCTTGGTGTAGCTATAATTTTAGGTGACATGTCCCCCAGCACAACAAGCTGGCCGAGGCGAGCTGGTCACCGAGGAGCTCGTTCGATGCGCTATCCTTTGGCACGAACAGTGGAACAGAAGCCCTGGATGAGGCGAGCCGGCTGTATTTCCAGGAGAACGACATCCCCGGTTTCCTGGCAACCCTCGACCCGATGAAAAGGCTGAAGCGGCCCCGATGACGATCAAGGTAGAACCGTGGAAATCCATTAAAATTACCATGCCTTTGTTTAGGAACACTCGTTTGTACAAACCCTGCTTCGCCGATCTGACGGACGCGCTCAAGTTCTGCAACGCCTACCGCATTGGCCAAGACCGAAAGAGCTGGCGCAGGCCTGCCAAATCTACATCAACGTGTTCAAGCGGATTCAAGTACATTTTAGGGCGGCCTCAAAATACGCTACTTTATAGGGTCAACTTCGACAACTGACCTCCTTGGACCTGACGTACGTGTCGCCAAAGTTGAAGAATGTAAAGATCTCTCCATTTCGGGTAAGAATCTGGACGCGGTGATTACACCTCACTTTCAGTCCCCGGCACCTACGACCCAGCGCAAACGGACGAGGACATTGTCCGCATCAGCTACGTCGACACCCTGCTGACCGTCATCAGCAGCAAGCAAAAGCCGAGGAAAATGCAGATGAGAGGTGGTTGCGCGAAAAATCACGTTAATATTTATATTTAGGCAGCAACGGACGGGATTACATGTTCCTGCTAAAGGGACACGAAGACCCGCGTCAGGACGAGCGTGTCATGCAGCTATTCGGACTGGTTAACGCCATGCTAGCGAAAAATGAAGAAACCGGACGCACGAATCTTGCCATTCAGGTGTTGAAGATTTTTATAGTTCAGCAATCCCAAATGGTTAGCGCTATTCCATCATTGCCCTCTCGCAAAACTCGGGCCTGATCGGCTGGGTGCCAAACTGTGACACGCTGCACACGCTCGTCAAGGAGTACCGCGAAAAGAAGAAGGTCAGATTGGCCTAGCTTTTATAAATTTGTATACCTCAGAATTTAGATATCGCTATCCGCCGAGCACAAAGAAATGCAAGCCAACGCGCAAGATCTGGAGACGTTGCCGCTCGATCAGAAGGTGGGCAAAAATCTTTTAAAATCACAGCTTTTAGGTGCAACTTTTCAACCTGGCCCTCGCAAAGACAAGCGGCGATGATTTGCAGAAGATTTTGTGGCTCAAGAGCCCCAGGTTTGTGTTCCAATATGGATTGAGAATATTTTCGGATCTTTCGCATTATCGGGGGAGGGGGGGCTTTTTGTATGACTCTAGAAAGGTCTGAAACTTAATATGCAGGATTTTAATAGCGTTTTAGGTGGGAAAAAAACAATATTTCAACAGTTAAAAAACTTTTAAAAAGTCGACATGTAACGAATGGCCATTTTTGGTAGAAAAATCGTCATTCTGTCATTTTTTCATCAAATTTTGCTAAGGTTTCACGTGGAGGAATGGAAAAAACCATTTAGAAACCCTTGAGTATTTATACTCGAAAAATTAGACCATAGGAAAGCCCCCCCCACCCGATAATGCCAAGGAACGATATTAGCTCCATTTTTTTAGCTCCGAAGTTTGGTTCGACCGGCGCACGAATTACACCCGCTCGATGGCCGTGATGAGCATGGTTGGGTACATTCTGGGGCTTGGCGATCGGTAGGTGCCATTTTACATCTGATTACCCTAGTTTTTAGTCACCCCTCAAATCTGATGCTCGACCGGCTGACGGGCAAGATTGTGCACATCGACTTTGGCGACTGCTTCGAGGTGGCCATGTCCCGGGAGAAATACCCGGAAAGATCCTTCCGCTTGACGCGCATGCTCATCAAGGTCGGCTATAGGAATTGTATTTTTACGGTAATTGTAGGCGATGGAGGTCTGTGGCATTAATGGTAACTATCGTCATACTTCGGAGCGAGTGCTCGGCCTTTTGCGTGCGAACAAGGATTCGCTGCTCGCCGTCCTTGAGGCCTTCGTCAATGATCCGAACATCAACTGGCGGTTGTTGGAAGGTGTGTGGCTGATAATAAAAAAATCAGGATCTTTTGCGTTATCGGGGGGGGGCAACTTCTTTCTTATGATCTATTCTTCAAATATAAATATTGCAAGTGCTTCTAAACCTTTTTTTTACTTTTTTAAACGTCAAAGCTTACGATTTTTATTAAAGAGATCAAAAATCACCTTTTTAAACTTAAATATAACTATTTTCCATTTAGTGAACCGGCAACGACGGAACCCCGCCGAGAAGCAGGACATTTCCAAGATGGTCAAGGACGAGGGGCTAGTCAAGAGTCGGCTCGAAAAAATTGTCGAGCGGATCAAGAGCAAACTCATCGGTAAAGGTGCCTAAACATTACAATGGCTTGCCTAGGGCACGACTTCGAACCGGAGCGCGAGTACAACGTCGTCGAGCAGTTCAACAAGCTCGTCGAAGAGGCCACAAACGCCGAAAATCTGTGCCAATGTTACGTGGGATGGTGCCCGTTCTGGTAGTAAAGCTGCTAATCATTGCAAAAACTGTGCTAATCTGTATGTACCTATTTTTGTATGTTTGAGTCTAGAAACGGCTTATGAACTCACTCCCCGGCTTCAATCAGAGAGAGTATGCTTGTTGCTTGGAATCGTTGATTTTTGTCTCATCCTCTGAATTTGGCCTCAATGCCT